TAACTTACGATTGTACATGTGTGTGCCTTGTTCTTGTTTAATTAATTCAGGTAATTAATCAAGCGTGAATGTCCATAGCCGATACACCCCCCCCCCCCCGTTTACAATAATGGTAGAATATTAAGAATGTTTTACCCGTTCTCTTATTTTCTGTTGCAACTAATATTTGATTTGATCAAAATAAATCATAATGTGTGAATGTACTTTCTCAGGAAGGTAACGGTAAAGTTTAGGCTAGACTTTACAGTCTATGTCTAGAAATGAATGTAAATGAAGTTGTTGAGTGTGTTACTTGTGGGATTCATGTATATTAGGGTATTGTGGTTTGTTATTCGGTTAGTGTACAATGATTGGTCAAAATTAATTCATGATCAACTTCATACATGCATATAAATTGCAGATTTTTTTTTCGAACCATATTTTAAAATATATAAACGTATATTATTGGATGGGGTGGGTGTTACATTCTGATTCACTGAAAAGTATGCTAGCGCATTTAGTTACGAAATAATTCTAAACATATTTCTTTTCAATAATTTAAACATAAATATAAAATAGGAAACGTAGGGCCAGGAAAAATTATCAAATGTTTAAAGATTAACAAGAAATAATGGTTTAAACTCTAATTTAACACTTTAAAATTTGATGCACCTAATCTTAATTGTTTTGATTTGAACACGTATTTATTGAGATAAACAAAAGGATTGGAAACAAGTTTGACAACTTACAACTTCCTCATGTGAATTAAAGATCGATTTCATAACGACATCCAAAGAAGAAAAGGATCAAACTCTACTACAAGAGACAAATACAATTTATTCCTGGATGCAGAGTATCTTATCAATAACCCAAAAAGTCTTCAGAGATGAGGGCGTACAATGTTGTTCTGCATACTTTTTTCCCGTATTTAAAAATTCGGAGCTAAACATGTAAATACATATGGTAAACGTGTTAAAAGAAATGTGGTATCCTTTAGGTAAAAAAAACCTGTCATACTCTTTAAAAATTTAGGTACTTAAAACGTAAACTTTGACAAAACTTTTTTTATACTGTGTATTGTATAGACTTTTGATGCCCGGGGGAGGGGGTGGTAGAGGCTGTCTCAAACTGTTTAAAGATACTGATAACTACTTTGATAGTGTAAGTGCCTCTGCTTAATTGGGGTTGAACCCAAGGCCTCTGGCTTGACAGTCCAGTGCTCTACCAAATGAGCTTAAGGGTTAACATGCTACCCAAGCTCGTACGTAGGAAGATGTGGTGCATGTATAGTTTGTACTACCACAATAAGATTTTTTTCATCTAAATGTTGATTATTTTCTTTTACTGTTGCAGTGATGTAGATTTCTGCCATTTTCTTGCATTAAAAAAGCCATAAATTGGAAAATCTTTTAGAGGAAGAGAAGATTTTTTATTTCAGTTTTGTTCTTTTTTCCCTTGTCAATCATTTCGGTGTCCCCCCCCCCCCTCTTTTCATTTTTTCAAAGATTTAGTTTAAAATGTATATTTTATTAGTACGATGAAATATCTTAATTATTGATATTTCTAAGGGAATCAAATCAAAAGTTTAAAAATACAAGTATCATCAAATTATTATATACTTCTCGTTATTTTACGATTTTACGTTATGAAAATCCATGGAGTTACGCACGCGTACACCGTACGTCAAAGTAAATTTTCCGTCTTTTTCATGCGATATGTTATACATTTATACACAGAAATATATGTCATGTTATACATCAAATGAAAGAGAAAGAAAAACTCTACCAGAATCAATAAAAAACTGAAAATGTCAAAATTCTTCGTTAAGGGAGGTTTTTGCTTGGCGCGTCACATATAAATGCTTTAATGAAAATATCCCATATGGTTAACTGGTTGACCTATGAGGTCAAGGTCAAAGGAAACCACAAGAAATGCAGTTGAAAAGCTTACAATAGTATGTGTTAGCATACGATGCTTGGTAAAAATATTATTAATGGTATCTCTAAAACTGAACTAAACACTTTAAGAAAAACTTAATCAATGTCAAAGGCAATGTCAAGGTTAAAATGACCTCAGCTATGAAGTTTGACACTTATTTAGGAAAAAGTGGGTCAATAACAAAGGGAAGATCTTGACACTGGTTATATACAAAGATTTTGACACAGGTAATACGTGTCTTAAAATAGTTATCCCCTGCCTTTCAAAAGCATGAATTTCAAGGCTAAAGTATTCAAAATGTAGGTCATATTATAATAAAAAGTAAATGAAAAAAGTCTGTCATACACATCAGTGTTTCTAGAGTTGAAAAAGACATACTTCAAATTCAGGAGATGAGGTAACTTGGAGGAAAACCAAATGTAGGAGGACAGGGGTTGGTAAAATGTAATGCCATCTTCATGGGATCCCTATATTATAAAAAGCTTCAAGTAAAATCCAACTCAAATCGAAATGATACTGACAATCATCAATTGTAATCAAACAGTTCAGAACTCTGCTTAAAAATTGCACTACCTGTTTACCACCATACCCAAAATTCAGAAATAAATTAATTATAATATACCTGATGAAATACTGGATTATACAGTGGCGTGCCAAAAGTGAAGATAATTTTATTTTTTCTCTATATATTTCATTGAAAACAACATGTTGTAAAATCATAGGTAAATGGTCAATTTTTGTCCAATTTAATAATTTATTTCAGTACTTAAACCAAAAAATGTGAAGTTATCTTTCTTTAAAAGATCATTACACGTTTAATATGTAGTAAAATATAGTTCATCACTAAACATCAGTTCTAAAATTCAAGATGTCAGACTTAAATTACAATATTTTTTAATTATCAATGCTTATCAGATAAAAACTATTGTTTTGTTTAACTACAATAATTTCTTGGATTATCTAGAAAATTTTGATAAAATCTGGCAAGAAATGTTGTCATACCAGCGACTTTACAAAATATTGTTTTCAATGAAATATATAAAGAAAAAATAAAATTATCTTCACTTTTGGCACACAATTGCAATTGTAGATGAAATCCAGAGCATGATCTAACTTCATCATGTCCTTTTTCTTGTGAAACACTGGTTTTTGTTTGGGAACATCAGCACCTTCAAAAATTGGTGTATTGTATTACAAAATTTATTTCAAAAAGTCTAGTTGTATTCAATTTCATCGTTTTACATGTTCACTATATATAGGTAAAAGAGCTATGATTTAATAATACCAAAAATCTCATTCATTCGAGTTTTTAAGGACATTATGCATTCACATGCAAAATTAAACTACGGAAAACGGAAACTCTGATATTCTTGCATATACTATTGAATGATAGACATCTACCAATATATATTTAGAGAAGTACAGCCTTGAATCTTACCTGAACCAACGGGAAGCAACACTCCTTTTTGTTCAAGAATAAAGCACGACATTTTGGACGTCACTGAACGTTCCGTCTTGGCTTTGCTGAAATGCTCTGGAAAGGAACATTTCATACTTAGTCTCCTCAACTTTACGCCCAGTTTTTCACGATGAATAGGGCAAATTGTGAAATTATTTAATGTGAAAAAAAAACCATTCTGAACAACAGTAAGTACCCCTCAGACGGAATATTGTCATGACCATTTTTAAAATTCCAAGGTGTCCGCTGATGTCTTTCTTACAGTTGGAAATTTGAACATAATCTTTCTCAGATGTAAAATATGATGATAACCCACAAGGGATACATGAAAGGTAAAAAAAACTGCACTTGTTGTTATTAAGGTCTTCCGACTTCCTTCGGAAGACCTTACTGTTTTCCTTATGTTTCCTATTATTATTATTTTTCCCTTTTCATAGTACACGTGATTTCTCGGAAAGTACTGGACTGATTTCAAAGATTTTTTTAGGAATGATGCATTGTTGTAATATCTCCAGACCTTTTTTTCATTTTTGAAAAAATCACTTCCGGTTCCATTTTTTGTCCGATTTTCTTTTTTTAAATTGTCATTTTGTCCAAGCATCTTCTTGTAAACCACTCAAGATTGAATCACGATACTTTCAGGGATGATAAAACATCTTTTTGAGTTATGCATGATGTCTTTAGATTTTGCATTTGTCACTTCCGGTCGACACAGGAAGTGATGTTTTCTTTCAATAATTTTTGAAAAATTCAACCATTTTGAATAAAGGCAAATAGAACTTATATTTATATTCACAATCGTCAACAAAAAGCATCGATTGGAAGTACTTCCGGTTTATACCGGAAGTTGACGAAAAATTCAACTTTCTCTCTTGAATCAAAAGAAATAGAAAAAATAGTCTAATTTGAGTTTTTTTTTCTGTTTTTCGGCTTTGGTGTCAGCCGGAAATGAAGCCTGAATTGTCGAAAGTCGTCAAACAACGTCACTCCCGGTCAATCTGGAAGAAGTCAGCAAGTGCAAATTTTTGCGGTTTTCGACATGTTTTATTAATTAATGGCACTAAAAGCATCCAACCAAATTTCTCATCCCTCAAAATCACTTTCAGACAAACTGGAACTAGCATAAAATAGCTTATTTTAAGGTTTTGATGCAAAATTGAAATAATAAAGTCAGTCGAGGATAGCTAAAAATATTGGTATATTTCCATGATTACGAAAAAGTCTGACTGAAATAATTTCGAACTGACTAAATCTTGTCATTTGATATAAAGAGAAACAATTTCCAAGCTATATTTAATTGTGTGGGTTTTTTTTTTTTATAAAACAAATATATGAGAATCCTTACAGGAACCAAGTTGTCTACTATCATGACTATAGGAAGACTTTACTAGCTGGGCCTCTTGTACAGTTTTAAGTTGAAAGATATAGTTTTGATTCTGTGTTTCTCTGTTTTCTTTTTATTCAAATAATTCAAATCTTGTTGTACACAACAAAAGGTAAATCAAAATGTTTTCTTTTGAGGAAGTCTTTTCCGGGACCTTCTTGTTTGTAAACAACGCGCGGCATTGTGGGAAATAGGAAGGCTAAAGACCGATATACTTAAAACCTGATATGATCTTAATCAAAATTGTCGGTAAAATTTCCAAACAAATGAATTTTTGTATAGCATAATGCATCCTAGTCGAAAAGTCTTTAATTAAGTCATTTAAAGTAATCATTATTATCACTTAATTTAAAATAAAAACATCAGGTAAATATCAGGTCTTTAGTATATCCGGGTTTTAGTGTGTCCCATCGAAATCGGACACATGATGTTTACAAACTGAAATTGAGAAATGATGTGAAGTTGAACATAATTTCATCATACAAGCTGTATGTAGACATGTACGCACATTTAATCTGCAGCTATGAAGTACTTTATCAATTCTCTGGAACATTATTCTAAGCAGAATTATCCGATTTATATATTCTTGTGTGAATTGTTTACGAGGAAATTCCGACTGTCACATTAACAAGGATGAACACTCTTGTCGTCTTGACTCTGTTTCGGACTTCCCAGTGATAATTGCATCGAGTGATGAAAGAGCTGACGGTGGCATTTTAATGAATAATTGGTGTGGACTAGCTGTGACCGAGAATGAAAGTAAGAATTTTTTTACCTAAAATTTACATTACTATGGCAGCTTAGAGCTGTGATATTTTTAGAAATACACAGACACACCGATGTAATATCTGTTTTACGGTTCAGACGCTCTCTGTTAGCCTTTTAAAATCCCCACATCCCTTTATATTTTATTTAAGTACAGGTCTCTGTAAGAATCAGACAAAAGGTGAATCATGAGGGTTCTCAGAATTCGATGATTTTACACACATAGGTTTCTCTTACCCTATGAACCACGTATGTAAAGTGAAAATTATTTTGGGTCCTGGTTACTATGGAAACATGGCCAAAGAAATTTTCCCTAGCAACCGGTCAATTTTCCATGTTTATGGACAAATATATCACTAAACTTAGAGGCTTGAAATTGAATGTGAATATTACCAGAGGGGTTCTTAAATAATGTTATCATAAAGATAAACATTTCAAGTCAGTGTTTTCAATAAGATTTTCAATAGAAGGAAAAATAGATGGAATAGCAGGAAATCAGTATCGGCGAGGGGTCTGGGGGCCGCCTTAGGCCCCCAGCGGGTCCAGTGCAGAGCCCTGGTAGGGGGCCCAGGGGGGCGAAGCCCCCCGGCCGAAAACGAAAATCAACATTTTTGACTCATTTTTCTGACCTCTAAGGCCATTAAAAAAGTAATTTTTTTCACATTCTTGTCACTATCAATTATCAAATTTTACCTAAAAAAGCCAATTAAATTTTTTTTTTCCTTTTTACAGATTTGTTTGACAAGATTTTTGACATACTGTTTTTTTTCTTCCGAAAACTAAGTGTCTATAAAAACATACAGACAACTTAAGTATGAAATTCTAGTACAGACAATTGTCTGTGGTAGAATATCATATTTAAAATTCTACATATTTAGTCCCTTCCACATAAATTGGTCAGGATGTTTATTCAAAACTAAAAAAATTATTTGGTTGAAAATTTTAGATTTTTTAAACACTTGGTTATGTAGAGTACCCCCAAAAATTGAAATATTCTGTAATCTTAGACTTTTCATAAATTAATCTTTAAATTGATTTACGTTTTTGACATTTTGTGCAGATAGTCAGAACAAAATAATTAAGAAAATGGTATTTGATACAAAATACTAGTACATTAAAACCTTCCCAAATGTGAAAATGATAGTGTTCCTGTATTTCAAGAGTTCTTAGACGGATAAAAGAGAATATTTTTTTCAATTTCAGTTTGTAGAAATGCTGTAAGAATTTCTATGTCTGAGTCACGATTAAAATATTAAGACTTTTATTCGTAATTATTATGTCAGCATAACATTTGAGATTTTCAGTTTGTGGAAATTCTGTAAGAATTAGAATGGATACATGATCAATTTTCAATCGAAAATTATAAAACACAAACAAATCTTTTCGGAAGGGACTATTCTTTATGCCTCTTAATGTATGTGATCTAACACGCATGTGTTAAAGCAGCAGCACATTTCTCCACGACTTCGCTAAAATATTCGTTGTCCGCGACGCCATTACCTGACACTATCGATCTAATCAAACTTCCTTGAAAAAGAGCGCACTCAAGGGAAGCTACTCTAGATCATGGAAATAGTTGCGATAAAATCTATGAATTTTGCGTATCAGCATCGGCAAAATCCTAATGACGGAAAATTCATAGCCGGCAAAATTACTCGTACAGGCGGTTAATTTTGCCGGTTGCCGGCTCTTATTGAAAACACTGCAAGTGATAAAACCATGTAATACATACCATTTTTATTTCAAGATATTTCTTTTACGGGCAATGGAAGATATGCATGTTTTGCATTTTTTGCTGATTCAGCATTTTTGTTAATTTGGGCAATTTTCAAGGCCATATATCTCGAACTTCTTGCACAATACAAGAGTATGGTATATTTTACATAAAGGCAGAGGAATATCCTTTTTGGAATTTAAATTCAAAAACGTGTGTTTTTTAATATTTACAATTGGTTGCCTAGCAACAAAAATGGATGTTTTGATTAAGAGAAAGAGACAAATTGTCAAATATGCGAGTTATTTATGGAATTAAATCTTATCGGTGGATACCAAAATCAATTTTTAAAGTAAAAACATATTTCTGAGACTTCTTCATGAATCCAGGAATATTTTGCATATACTTATCACCATAGTAACAGAAAATTCCCCATAGCAACAAAAAAAATAAATCCACTTTTGACATGCACTCATTCACAGATTTGATTATTTTCGTCTAGAATTAAATGATGATTTGGTAAATATTAAAAAATAGTGTTGAACTTTGATCTTATTTAATGCATAGCAATATTACTAAGCTTATAACGTTAATAAAATTATACACTACAAGGAGCTAAAGTTATTTTCTAAAGTCTCTGTACATAAGCATTTTAAGACCAATTCTCCGTAATTATCAAAATTGGTTGGCAACGCATACTTACAGATTTGAATTTTTTCTGTCATAATTTTAAACAAATGTGTGATTGATTGTGAAATGTAGAAGTATTTTTGAATTATAACCTCGGTTCACCATTGCCATGGAAACGGGATACAGACTTTCTCATTTCTGTAAATCATGAAAATCTGCTCTTTTCATGAAGATGTCCAGAAATGAGAGGAGATAATTAAATTTGTGTATAATTTTTTTGAAACCAGTGCTAGAGATTCAAACAACAATGGTTACGGTTCAATTTTCATTTCACACTTGTTAGTGGTCATGCTAGGTACTCGAAAATATCAAAATATGGTAAATTTTGATGTTTTTAAATGCTTAAGACAAAAAATACAATCATTTACAAATTAAGCATAGAAAAAGGAAGGTCAACATTTTATTACATTAAACATTTTAAATAAAAATTCGGTGGGCAAATGATATGCATAAAAGAATTTTAAAGGTGAATATTAATTTTTTCTGCATTTTGAAGCATTTTTGCTTCCCAATTACTTCCCTTGGTTTACTCTCTAAATGATTTTTTAATAAATAATTATTACACGCCGGGAGCAAGCCCCTGTGCTTTTTTCTTTCCATTTTTTGGCTTTCATGCATTTAACCGAGATTCCTCTGCTTTGAAAATTGTGACACCTGAGGGGGCCTCTGCCCTGACTCTCCCCCGACCCCGGTACATTTCGCAATAAAAATATTACCTTACCAGTACATGTAAAAGCACGTTGATGAGAGACAATGTAGACATATGTCAGGTCAGACAGTGACAGACACAATCTCTATATAACACTGTATATATACTCAGAGTAGCTTGCTTAGACGGGTTAGATGTTCAAACTAGCATGATTTACAATTTTTACCAGTTTTCTTCATGAGCAATCTTTTTATGAATTTAAAAAATGAATCTTGGTGCACAGGGACTTGCTCCCGGTGTTTAAAAAATATTTATTGAAATATCATTGTTTGTATAATTGGTATGTGATACATGTATTTTTATTTATTTTTTGTTTACAATAAAAGCACACCTTCAGCTAGCACCAAATTTTATTTCAATGCAATAATACATTTTCTTTATTTCCCTTAACTGTAACTGTAAATTTGGGGGGGGGGGTCTTCTAATAAACATTTCCTACAGTAATTTTACGTTCGAAAAAACTGGGGGGGGGGGCAGCCCCCACCCCTTGGGCCCCCTGTTGCTACATCCTTTGTTTGAAACAATTGTCCAAATTGGGTATAATAAAACTACAATACATCAATAGGGAATCAATGCCCTAAGCAGGACAAATACAGAAAAAGTGCCTGCAATTGTCCAAAGTCAATACTTGCCATATAAATGTGGGACAAAAAAAATATAGCCTAATATTTTGTACTGTAAATTTCTATCCCTAGCGTTCATAGCATTATTGATCACTTTGCATGAGATGATATATTTTTACCAAGCAATGGATTTCGAAAATCAACATACATCTTTCGAAGTCTGCAGTCGTCCGCGTGGCGCAGTGGTTAAAGCGTCTGCTCGAGAGTCGCAAAGGAGTCAATCCTTACGTCCAGGGTTCGAATCCCACTGTGGGACATGGAGACTGGTCCTTCGGATGAGACCATATAAACCAAGGTCCCGTGTCGCAGTAAGTGCTGGCATGAAAAATGATCCCTCCCTGCTCAATGGCCCTCAGTGCCAAGTATATGACAAAATTTGCAGCTCTCCACCGTCTCCATGTGAGTGAAAAATTCTCGAGAGAGAGACGTTTAACAATATACACAATCAATCAATTGAAGTGTACAAATTCTCTTTAATTTTGTGTGGTATTTTTTTTTTAACTTGAAAAACATTAATTTCAAAAGATAAATCAAACTGTTTTTGTAACTTACAATAATATATAGTGTTACTTGAAAGGAGGGATGTTTTGATGTATTCAATAGGTATACCCATATACATCAATACACTAAAAATTGTACAACAAAACATAATTATATCTGCACCCCGCACTATGTACCCTTTTCAAAATACATATAACATTATGGTAATATATATTGTGAATTAGGTGAATTTCCTCTTGAACTGGTCAGGGAAAAGAAAATCCTTAAATATTTTTTTTTTCTTTTTAAGTAGTGACTAGTGATAATTGTATTCTTCAAGTATGTCTCCTAAAAAGGACAGAAAATAATGATGACTGCATTGTAAATATTAAAAGTGATTTTCATTGGCTAGGCTTTGCAAAATTGTACATGTTAGATAGAAACTGTAACACAGTGTACATATGTACTATACTCCCGAAGACCAAGTGCCCTAAGTTACTTACCGGTAGTCATGTTATTGCACAGAATAAAAAAGAATTATGTAATCTAGGAAAATTTGTGCAACTAGCGAGTGCATCAAGAATAGTGCCTTTCACTTGTTTATACATTATAGAAAATATAATATGTGCTGTACATGTTGCATGTTAAGCTCATCATTATATTTGTTATTAAAAATGTATAATTGTGAGATATATGTCCCTTTAACTTCAATAAACTGAACTAAACTGAGATAAAATAAATAGAATTCCTAATGCCATCAATGTATCTTAATTTTCAA